AGCTCAAGAGGTGAAGATTTCCCTCACACTTATAAACTGACCATCAACCCCTTCCACAACCGATGTGAGATAACCTCAACAATCTTCCCCTCACACATCGGGCCTTGAGTGGGAGCAAACTCGTATCTCCCATGGACTGCTGATAGGAATGAAAAATGCATATTTTTTCCTCTTTATTTTATGCACTTGTATGACTATTTTGTGCCAAAATGTACTTATTAACCTCATATTTTGATTTAGGTGGCAATTTAATGGAGATTGAGTAATTTGGAAGAAATAAGTGAAAAAGGACCAAAGTGAAAGGAAATGAAAGTTTAAGGACTAGCGTGCAAATACACAAACGTTGTGTCAAACCAAAGGATGAAAATTTGAGAGTCAATTGGTTGAAAAAAGATGTCGAATGGATGAAATAGCGTCAAAGTATGATCACACGTCAATTTCCAATCCAAAAGTTATACACCGATTTTTAGCCTCATATTGAAACCCATTTTTGACATAGTAAACGATCATATCAGAAGATGATATCTGAAACAAAATTGTTGCCCTTTGAGTTATCTTTTCAACCATCTTAAATCGTCTCAATTGGATTTCGTTAGTGGAAGATATAATCAAAATACTGAAAGTTATGCGGTGGAAATTATTTAAAACAATGCCGCTGCATGGCTTTAATTCCATGCTATCGCAAGAGGCATCTCAGCGAACTTCAGGGTCCATTTTCAATGTACTATACGATTGCATGACTTACTACCATACGGCCGCATGGTTCATTCCTAACATGAATTTTCTGTTTTTCTAATTCCAATCAAACACTTATGGAAACAAATCTCTCTACACTTCAAAAACCCTAGAAAACGCCCAGAATGAAAGAGAACACCTACTAACTATTTTCCTCTCTTTTGTTCTTAGATTTTTCATGTGTAACTAATTCTTGGTGTTTGATTGAAGGATGCCGAAGCCTTGAAAACATTATTACTGTGAGGTCTATCTAGTTTCATTGTTGAATAAAATTAAGAAAAAATAGGAATTCATTCAAACAGTGAACACCGAGAATGTGGATTGATTATTCTTTGCGGATCGATGATTGGTTATAAATCTCCAATGGTGAAAGTTGACTCAAATCAAAGTTCATTTTATTGATTCAATATAACTCGTTAATTTATATTGTTATTGGTTATAAGATTGATTTCATTACAAACAAAACCCTACAATCATTGTACGGAGCATAAAATGTTGAATTATACAGTTTTCGTGGGATCGACCTTACTTCCACTACTACATTAGTTTTAGAAGTTAAGATATTACTTTTGGGTGCCCCTGACAACACACACCAACTACTAGATCGAAATATCTTGATAACTCGGACTTTGATACCAATATTGTGTGATTTTGAGCCTTATCAAGGCCAAAATTTATCTCAAGAGGTAAGGTTTTTTCTTGCATTTATAAACTGACCACCTATCTCTTCCACAATCGATGTAGGATGACCTCAACATAATCATATTGTACACTTTTTAGAATACTAACTGCAACCAAGTATCCCATCCTTGGCTTCGCGTCACTCAATAATGGTATATGGAATTTCTCAATTTTTATTTTTCAACTAATACATCTCTTGTTCTTTCTTTTCACAAATTTATGTCTCTGTTTGGTTTGATTAAAAATCAGATTTTTAGTATATTTGAATAAAAGTTGATGTAATGTAAGATTAATAAATAAGTTATAAGTCTCGTAAGATATATGATTGAAAATATTTTTTTTTTTTTTAAAGTAAGTTTAAAAATTGAGGCCAAACGAATCCTATAAATCGTCAATCATACTTTCATTTTGGAACATAAGCAACACCTATCGAAGGTGGAGCATTTGGGGAACTCCATAGTACAACCAACACTTGTCAAAGGTGGAGATGTTCTACCAAGTTCAAAAGATCCTAAAATTTAGAATTTGAGCACGAAATCAAAAACCTCGATTTGACTGTGGAAGTTAAAGTCGTAATCAATTTGAAGATAAGATCTTCATAGTCATGTCCGTTGAATACTATAAAGTTTATCTTACCAAACAAATTATTAATGGATTGAGTTTCTTTTTTTTCTTTTTTCATGTTTGATTAAAGTTGGAAATCAAAAAATTACTTATTTTAAAAGTAAAGTAAGATTTTATATTTGGAATCAAGTTATTTGAATTTTTTTTAAAAAAAAATCATTTAAGAGAAAGTTTTCTTTTTTAGCTTTGTTATCTTACTTCAGATTGAATACTTAATACATAAATTACAAATAATAATAATAATAAATTAAAAATTTTTTGGCTTGGATTGAAAAAATGAAAGTGTTCACATGTCTTAGCTCGAGGTGTGTCACTACGGATGCTTAAGTCTATATGCTACACGAATATAGGGTTCATCCATAACTTATAACAAGCTATCATTTATGTTTGTATCGTGAAAAATACTGTATATGATTACAAAATAATCATCATAGAACTATTTACATAGCTCTTTTCGTTGTCACCATAAATTACATCCTTCAATAATGAATAATCCACGTAGAATTGATATTTTCTATAATATGTTTGTTTCAAAATACGGATACTAGAGTTTTTTAACATTCATGACACGACAAGTTCAATTGTTATATTTAAACATTCTCAAACATCATATTTTAACCAACAACGTGAACAAAGTTATTACACGACACTAACAAGAAAACTTTGAGACCAACATTGTCAAACTATTATAAACATATCCAACAAGTGACATCCCACACAAACATGCAAATAAGAGAAGGAAATGTTGCGGCACGGAACAAGTTTGTTTTGCGCAGAGTAGCAAGGGTTTATTTGATTGAAAATGTGAAAATTGGTAGAAAGAAAATGTTTTACAGAAAATTGAATTGTCTAAAAATTGTTTTATTGGGAATTATAATTAATTGTGTTTGACTTGTATAATTTTATACCTGAAAAATATTGTCCGTTTGGTTTCTTTTTTATAAAAATTGTCCATTAAAGTGATAATTTTTTCTAACATTGAGTGTAGAATTTGTTCCAATTGCCAAAAAAATTATCATACCGAATACCATTCGTCTGGTTTTGTTTTGTATGAGAATTGTCAATAAAAGTGATAAAGTTTTTTTTTTACCATTATATCTAGAATTTTTTTCCCATTGCCAAAAAAAGGCTGGAAAATCAATTGGTGAAAATTGATTTTCCACAAAACCAAGGAAAATGTGAGCACGTGAGCCAAACCAAGAAAGTTTTTTCCATGGAAAAAAAGTGTATCAAACAAAGTAAAAGTGAAAGTTGGAATTTATTTTCCATTTTTCATGGAAAATAATAGCCTATTAAACATGCCCTTGGAGTAAAAGTTAGGTTGATGAATTCAAATTATCCAACCCAAGGTCCACATTTCAAAATGTTAGTTGAGTAATTGCACAAGCATCCAAAATGGCTAAGGAGAAAAAGGATAGTAGACGACGAATACGAGACCTCTCTCTCTCTTTTGTTAAGCATCATAACAAGAGAAAAATGTAATGACATCAATGAACACGTTAAAAACTTAAAATCGTCCACTTTAATATCATTATTCTGTAATAAAACTCGACCCTAGAACCCTCAACTACGTTTTGTTAGGTTAGAAAGAATAATTACAAATTATGCCACCCATCTTCGAAAAAGTTCTCTACAACCATACATTACATCTTGGTAGCACTATTCAACTATAATTTGTTACAATCGGGTTATTAAACTTCAAGTCACTCTATTAGCCACTTTACAAACTCAACGTCTCAATCTTACTTGCTACGTAGACATTAAAATTTACTTGTAGTGTGACATGTCAGACATTTTCAATTAAACTTATTCAAGTTGCAACCGTAAAATTGAAAATATTCGCTACCAGATTATGAATTGGCAGAAGGTTGTTTATTTTAAAATTTTGAAGCCAAGACAAGTGTCATATTTGCTTGGAAACGTAAGAGTTAAGACAATAGATTTAATGACTAAAATTGAAAGTAAATTGAATTGCAAAAATTACAGTAGAGCGGCCCAATTGTAATATCACTGTAAGTGCAATGACAAAAGAAGGAAACTAACCCCTTTGGAGATGTAGCGCCCCTGTTTGGTTTGGATTAAAATCTAATTAAAATTTTAAGTCAAAATTAACAATAAATTTTAATTACACATTTCATTAAACTTACAACTTTTGAACCACAAATTTCACCAACTTTTATCGAAATCTAGTAAAAATCTGATTTTAATCTCTACAAAACAAAGGTTGTAAACAATTCAAAAGTGCAGTCAACACTCTCTACGGAGCATCGAATCCCCGCAGTAGCTAGAAGGCAACATTTAAATATTGGAATGTAACATCTATTTTGAAAGGCAAAGATCCACAGAGATGAGAATCGTCGAATATCCAGCTTAAGTGTGTATAAGTTGTGATCGCATTCGGATTAACCCGGTTGATGAACCAGGGGGGAAGGCCGCCACTTCTCATGATTAGTCAGACGAAATTTGGACACTTGATTCATAAAAAAATAATATAAATAAATAGATAAGTGCACTCAACACTATTGAGTTTGTCTCATTTGATATATATTCCGTTTCACATAGCCTGATAATTACTCATTTGAAAACAATAATTTTACAATTTGTTGTTTATTTGAGCTTTAAACGAATCAAACCGCTTTCTTAAGCTTTTGAACTTTGATATATGATGTTGAGTCTTTAAAATTAATTGATAAAGTGGGAGAACCAAGGGTAAAATGCATTAAATGAAAACAAAGTCCAAAAATCATATTGAATAAAAGAAAAATCACCTTACATAACATCTCTCAAAAAAGTTGCTACAGGGTTTTTTAAGTAGATTATCAATAAATAATTCTCAATGCAACAAAACAAAATATAAATAATAATTCATGTTCTGATCCTCAGAAAATAAGCTAATAGTCTCGAGCATGGATAACTAATTTCTGTCAAAAGAGAATGGTAACACTATCAGCTGTGTTCCTCTATTTGGCAGTGCCATTGGGTACTCCGGTCGAGGCTCCAGTCGACGGGTTGAGCTCGTCCCAAGCTTCGATCCAGGTCACCATAGCATCGGCAAGCTTGTTAAAGTAATCGTCAACCTTGCCAAGTTTTGCCTTGACTTGTTTGGAGAGTTCAAGGTAACATTTCTGAACAGTGTTGGCATCCTTGGAAAGGGTTGCAGATTGGAAAAATGGAATCAGTTCTTCTTGCCAGTAAATACCTTTATATTCCTTCTTAAGATTCACAAATGGATTGCTGGCTTTACTGTGCCAAATGTATGGCAGGCCTGTCTTTATTCCTAATCCCAAGTGGTCACAGATCACCTACGCAGGGAAAAAAAAAACAGTTAAACGGACTAATAGAGCAGGAGTTTCAGTGACCAGTAGTGTTTTAACTCCTCGAAAAATTTTACAGGCGAAAATAAAAATACCTTGGTGCACCAGCCAGCCCACATGTCATCGTAGCGGCCAATTGGCTGGCCATCACCCATGAGCCCGAAGTACATGGCTGGGCCAATTAGCTCCCGATCGAAAGCCAGGTTCATGCCACACATTGGGAATAGGGTTCCCTTTGGAATAGTCATAACCGCATCAACATACCTGAAATATAACATGACATGAAAGATTCAGCACCTAAAATACAAACGAACATGCAGAAAATTATGAAAATGCGGTTTACCTCGTGTTCCTCTCACGAGGCTTGACAAGCTGGGTTGGTGCATCGTAATCTGGGATGTTAAGCCAGAGTCCATGTGACACTGCTGTCGGTGCACCTTCACGAAGACTAAATGGGTATCCACGGACAAAATCTGCACCTTCTCTGTAGGGATCATAAAGGGTATTGAAGAAAAATGGGGTCGAAGGGCTGAGAAGGTTTTTAATGTGCTGCTCGAGTGCATTAATTTCCTTGCCTGTTGGATCTTTAGCAACCTGTGCATCAATAGAGATTTCAAACATCACAAGATTCACAACCATAGAAAATGGGACCCAGCATTAAACATTGCATACATAAGTCAGTAAAGTGTATGATATTGCTTTCCATATTTGTAAGGTGAACAATCTTAATGACAGTATGAACCAAAAAGAGCTAAAATCTAGTCTAATGCATTTTCGTATCGTTTAGTTTTCTCCACTCTCGCGTACCAAAATTATTCTACGGGAATTGGTAATGCTGCTAGGAGTCAATGGGTACTTGAAACAATTATCATGATCATAAAAAATTGAGGGAAAGAATTGAAAGGATAAGAAGAACAATTTCTGATAATCTAATTGCATTTTCCTTTAAAGGATACTTATACCGAAACAGACATTAGAAGTTAAGGTTAGAAGAACTTATTTTTCTTGGACATTAAACTCAAATCTTAATTTTGGGACAGACACTAGAGGCAGATCACGAGAGCCACATTCATTAAAATATTCGATTCACACACGAAAGTTCCGATCACAGAAAAAATGATCGACCACCAGAGATCTCATCCATAAGCACAGATTGAAAAGGGTAAAAACTTTCAGAAGAAGCCATAATTGCAAATGTACAAACCATTATTCAATACTTACATAAAAATAAATCTAAAGAATTGGATTTCAAAAACATTCAATAGATTGAAAATGCCAAATCCCATTATCTTGAAACCAAAGAAAACAAAAAATCACATTTTGAACCACAGCAAATATTTAAACATACATTTTCACCAAAAAGTGAAAAACTCATAGGACCCCACATGTCAAATTCCAAGCTTTGAGTCAAAAGTCAGTAGAACACCAGACCAAATCAGATCTTCGGAGGGATCAACAGATCAACAACTATAAAAGATAATAATGCAAAAGAAAAGAATGAAAATTCGATAAAAATGGAAGACTTGAAAACCCCGTTTTCTCAATGTGAAACTTCACATTTCAAATTACAGCAAATCTTCAAAGGTAAATTTGAACCAAAAAGCGAGAATTCATTTGGAAAATTAAAAATCCAATCTTTGACACCAAAAAGTTGTAGAACACCACAATCAAAAACAGATCTTCCCAGAAAAAAAATCAACAGATCAACCACTATAAAACAGAAAAGTGCACAACATAAAGAACAGAACATCCAGATCAAATATTCAAACATTATACACAAAAAGAAAAGAAGAAAACTTTAAAAATTAGGGTTTGAATCTTACAAAGCAATCATCATCAATAGTGAAGATGTACTTCTTCTTGGAGACCATGTACCCAAAGCAACGGCAAGCAGAATCCTTGAATGAAATGCAAGAAGCCTTTGGGCCCAGAATTTTGTTAATATCATTTCTATTGTAGAGTTCATAATCAAAACCTTCTGGGACATTGATGATTTTTGAGGGATCTCCGTCTTGGACTATGATTAGATGGTATGGCTGGAAAAATGGCCTCCACATCTCGAGGAAATCGAGGTTTCTGATGGTGGGAATTACTATATCTAACTCATCTTTCAACGCCGGGGATGATTTTGAGTTAGCCATTGCTGAATTTCCTAGAGGCGTCTGGGTTTTGGGCAAGATCGAGAAATGAAGAGGAGTTAAGATCTACGGAGGCGAAGGGAGTGAATTTGTAGCTGAATTTCGTGGGGTGGGTTGCGTGGGGGTGGTGACTGAGTTGCGTTGAATGTGAAACTCTTGAATAAGGAAGGCGCGGTTCCGCACCGGCGGCACGTGAGACAACAGGTGTAGAGAGAGAGCAGAGAGAGAGGTGGCTTTACTCTTGAACTAAATTAAGAGGTTATTTGATACAACTTAAAATTCAATTAAAATTGAACATATAATTATTATTGGGCTCCACTTATCTAATAAAAGTTAATAATAACGATTAATTTTTTAATTTTAATCCAATTTTTATTTATACCGAACACATCATTTATTACTTCAATTATTAAATACTTATTTTTTTAAAATAATTTAATCATTTCTTATTTTCCCTTAAAAAAATACTCATGCCAAACATCTTTCGAATTACTAAAATGACACAATAAAAAAATAATCTATTAATAAAGAGTACAAAATACGTTTAGAGAGAATGATCACGATTTAGATGGTAACAATAGTTTACCAATTTTTTCTCTAAAAGAAGTACTTCAGACAGTCGTAACTTAAGATAATTATTCAATTAAAAAAATATCA